CAACCACCTTACCTGATGGGTTCCGTTCTCCACATGCACCCAGTCCCTGGGCTGGGGCGGACACTTGACCGGCTTAAACTCCTTCCAGAACTTCATCATGACGGGATCCTGCACCTCTAACCGCGGCAGCATACACGTCTGGCCCACCTTCCAGCCGCCCACGTCACGCAGCGTGGTTGCCACCTCCGACGTGGCGTTGTCACGGTAGACAGGCTGCACCACGTGCCTGGCGTGGCCTCCCCCTCCCCCTCCCCCGCCCCCTCCCGTCCCGGAAGAGAGTGTGTGCCCGCCCAGACGGTAGTTGGCCCACATCAGGCCCACCAGCAGCACTGTCAGAAGGATGAAGGTCTTCGGCGTAAAGTTACGCCGCACGATACGAAACAGCAGCATGATGTGGGCGTGGGGCGGGTGTCTTGTCAGTGGGTGGTGGGCGGCTGGAGGCTGTCACTGACTGGAGCAGCTCTGGAGGCGATGAATAGTATCCACAGGGTTCTGCGATCTGAGGAGATTTTTAGTTTTGTTAAAATTTTTACGCTCTTGAAGCACATATAATAATTGCATAATATAAATGTCAAAGATTAGAGGTGTTCCGAGAGACAAACATACATACACAGAAGAGGAGGGGAGATAAAGATGATAGATGTTTGAGGGAAATAAGGAGCAAACCACACCATAGCACCCACCAACAACCCGTGGTAAAATTTTGACAGCACTTGCAACACAGAAAGGTCATATCATGAGTGCATAATATGCAAAGCAAAGAAGGCGGAGAGATAAGGACGGTCGTTGTTTGAAAGGAAAGAAGGGCAAACCCCACTGGAGCGCCCGCCAACCACCATTTTGAGAAGAGGAAAGATATCAGAAATGTATAAAGAATTCTTTTTAAAAATCGGCCTTTTAGGACTGAGGGGGAAATACAAGTAAACGAACAACTACAAAACCCCAAAAACAATCAAAAGAAAAAGCCAACCTAAAAAACGAAAACAAACCCAGGATAGATAACAAACAGAAACAGTAGAGGGAATGTAAGATAAGGTAAACGTCCATGGCACCCTCAAACAAACTGCAAGAGAAGAAAGAGTCCAACTAATGAAATTAATAAACAACGCAAAATAAGAATAAAATAAAATAATATTATCACTTTTATTGATCCAGACGGGGGAGAAACTATAGCCACAGCAACATGCACAAAAGATGACGTAAAAGATGGAGAGATTGCATCCGCGTTATGCAATACACAATACAACCGCTTGCGGGTAATAACGTCATAACTATAATAGTCATTAATTAATGGCCTTCGTCATGTTGTGCTCATGATTTTCCTTTTTTCAGTTGTAGGAATGAACACCATTCACCACAATCAGACAGCCACTGGAACAATCAGTGTATGGATACCTTGCGGGCTTTGGTGCTGGGGGGAACTGAGCACTTATGAACCTGTCCGGTGCGCAATGACGTTGTTGCCCAGGACAGGTAATTCAGATAATACACGGCAACATAATAAAATTTGTTTCATTCCGTCATGTCAATATAGCACGGTTTTGTTTCTAGTTTTAGTTTAATTTCATGAAGAGTTTTTACGGAGCTTGTAATGCAAATGGGTCACAAAAGTGCCGAAGATTAGATGTAATATTAGAGAGTAACAAACAAAGAAAAGGAGGACGAGAGATGTGGACGATATAGGACTGATAAGAAAGAAGGAGTAAACCACAGCAGAGCACCCACCAATAACCCATGAAACTACAGTCACAAAGATGATATAAAATATTGAGAGATTAGTTAGTTTTAGTAAGGGCTTTACGACTCATGCAACACAATATGGTCATATAAGTGCCGGAGAGAATACGTGTTTTACAAGAGAAAATAACATACGCAGAAAAGGAGCTGGAGAGACTGATGTGGTCTATGGATGTTTGGTAGGAAAGGAGGAGCAAACCACACCAGAGCACCCGCCAACCACCCACGAAACTGCCTGTCACAACGACATGCAGAAAAGAAGAAATCAACAATTGAGAGATTGCACCGCGTCATGTGTTGTATTGATCAGTCTCCTGTCGACGCGAATATTCTGAGGCAAGACGAGGACTAGGACAGGAGTCTCACGACTTGCATAAGGACACGTCCACACACCGAATGTGTGAGGGAGGACTATTTTGAGGTTGCTTTTTTGGTGTACGTGTGTGTGTGTGTGTGGTGTGTGTGTGTGTGTGTGTGTGTGTGT